AATAATAATAATAATAATAATAATTCATCCACTAGTAATGCAACCTTCGTTTTAGTTTTTTACTTTCTCCAAATCGCAGTTCTTCACAAAACGTCGTAGGGCTAATACTAATTCTCTGAAGCGCTTTTTGAACTGAGCAGGAGGTTACTGTGGACGAAACGTTTGTTTTTACACGGAGCACCAGATAAACTAGCAATTAGTTTCACATTGACGTAGTGAAATATTATCTTTGTAAATGTAAATCTTATTTATAGTGGTCATGCACTTAGCTATACAAGCACTAAGCTTAGCTAGTTCACAGGCATGCCACTGAAACAAAGGAAACAAATATTTCAAAGTAAACGTAACATAGTTAAAAATCCCAACTGGCAGGAGGCAGACCAGTTGCCTATTTACAAAGTGTGATCGAGGATTTGAACTCGGGACTACCGAGAAACAAATCCCGCTACTGGCAGGGTGGAGTCCTTGAACCCGGGACCTCCGGATTTCAACACCAGCGCCCTAAACCGCTCGGCCACGCTGCCTTCTTGTGAATTGATAAAAAGGAAACATTATTTAACTCACAGCCACTCCGGAAAAGAACTCAACGTAACTATCAAAATATCAGAATCAGTTTAAAGACAAAAGAAAGCTTTGAATAAAAAAGGTAGGCGCTTTTTTTTCTTCCCTTTTTCCTATTTTGTCCATCGTTAACAGTCACAAACCTAGCTGCAGTTGATTAACAACCTACCTTTCGATCATAATTCAAAAAATGGTATACGGGGGAATTGTTGATTTAGCTATTTTCCGGTATTCAATTATATGCCAGTCTTCACAAATACTACTACAAATACATCCGGCAAAAAATGAAACAAGTCTTTCAAGTTCCGGTAGGTAATTCAGTATCCTATTCTATTTCCCTGGAAATATGATTTTTCTTTACTAAAAACTACGTCAAACAGTGACACGTTCGGACAGTTTTGGTGTAGACCGTGAGAAACTACCCATTAAAACTTATGACAGACATAACCCCAAAAACAGAAAAATGAAGACACGATGCAAATTAGGTTGTATACGTGGTGGAACAATCATGGTTTAACGAAGGATTTTGCATGGCGATAAAAAAAAAATAGATATCCTGATAATTGTTCAAAACAGTGGGAAACTTCTTAGTTTATTCTACTGAGATTCAGACTCATATCGACAGAGAGACAATGTGAGTGAAACAATTCAAATACTAATAACAACCTTGGCCCTTCAAAGTTTCTTTACCATAGATAATTAAATGAGTAACAATCCAAGGAAAGCTTTTTTGGTCTTTAATCTAAAAGCAAGGAAGTCATTAATTTAGAAACATTCTACAATCCCAACTAATTAAGTTACCCGGCATGGCTATGTCGGTCATATTTACCCCTTTAAACCCTCGCAAAATTTGCAACATTCATTAAAAGTTTTCAATTATCTCCGCTGTCGTCTGCCTTTTCCGATGCTAAAACTTATTATTTATTTCACGAGTCACTTGTATCCTAAAAAGTGCTGCAGTGTTTGTCGTACTCTCGCCAATTTCTGTGCCAAATTGTAAAAGCAGTGAGACCTGCTGGTTTGGATTTCAGACAGCTATCTCGATCGAGACGTTTTGGGTAAGAGACGTTTCGCTCTCTTTCACTCGCGTAAAGGTGACTTTTGACCGGTGCTATACGGCTCCAATTTATCAGAGAATCTTGTTACCTTTCTTTTTAAGAGTCCCTGTCCATAAAAATGGAAAATAACTCGGCAAGAGTCGAAAATTCGATTTCGCTCATATTTTCATGGTAGATAGGCTAGGGCATG